TTATTCCTAGCCATCTAGGAGGCCACCACTTTCTCAACAACCTTCCCAACGAAGGGGATGTTGGAGACTGGATGGTAGTTACTTAGAATGGCCGGATCCAAAGACAGCTTCTTCAGGAGGGGTCTCACCACCGCCACCTTTAGGATTTGAAGATATTGCAGTGATCACCAGTTCAAGCTTTGGGTCTCTAAAAATATGGCTGGGCTTATGACTCAACTACATGTCAGAGAAAGTTACTTGTTTCTGGAGGCAGGGATTTTGTGAAAGCCACCCCACCCCCTCTGCAGTGCCTCTGTGCCTTGTGATGTGATGTCATTCTATGCAGCCAGATGCTGCTTTTGATTACAGCTCCTTCTTTTAAAAATTAGCCTCTTTTTTGGTTATTAATCCTGTACTAGACAGCTTCTTCCAAATTTGCAATGCTCAAACAGCATTTCAGTCAGGGCAGATTAGCCAGAAATATTGATCTAGTAGAAATTGCATGTTAAGTGACTACGTGCTTTTAATAAGACCTTATACTGAGCGAGATCATGAATTCACCTATTTTAATATTGTCTGCTGCATTTGGAAGCAACTCTCAGTTTTTCCCAGCTCTGCCTGGAGATGCCAAAAACTGAAGCTGGAATCTCCTGCATAGGTTATCTAACAACAGATCTGATTTTCGCCTTCCTTTTCTGCCTTCTGCTGTTGCCCTTGGGCATCAAGAGTGAGACTGTGAGGACAGACGGCCGCTGGTCTTGCCTTGCCCAAATTTCCACTTTCTTTGCTTTCCCATTGCAGGTCAAAGGCTATATAAAGATTCCATTTTATTCCAAATGAAAACTGTTGAGAATATTCACCCTAAAACTTGATTGATCTGTTTATGTTATCTGCTTTGGTGGGCTGGGTTAATTCATCTTTGCTTTTAACTGCTCAGATTTTGTTAGCATTCCAAGTTAGCCCAGATAAGAAGCATGGCTATAATTATTAGTTTTGCCTTAATTGTAAGGTTGTGTTAATATAATTTTGCAAGCCTGAAAGTAACTCTCCCTTTCTTTACTTTGCTCTTCCCAAAATTAAGGAGGTCCCTTTTGAAATGCTTTCCCCACCCTTCCTTCTCTCAGTCTCAAATTTTGTTTACCATTGTTTAAGCTAGGGGTATCAAACTTGTGGCCTATGGGCAAGATGCGTCACAAGATGACAACAATATGACGCCGCAAGTTTAACACTCCTACTTTAAGCCATAGCTCTTCTCCCTGTCTCCGAAGGTCATTCTCACTTACCATTACAGATTTATTAGATATCACAGCAAGGCTGGCATTTTTCAGTACACCACTGCAGATAATCCATTCTCCTTTGGCAAGAGATTTTGCCTGACTCCACTTCCTAGTCTTAAATAAATAAATATGCTGATCATAACTTCTCTTACACAATTTCCGGGGAAGGAATCCTAGCAATTTATTTTCTTTTTATGTAAAGTGAAAGCAAGCATATTTTTGAGACTGATAATACTTTAAGGGGTGGGAATGGACATTGATTGGATTATGAGATGGGGTTAGGTATTTCTGGTCGCTCAGTCACCTCAAGGAAAAGAGAAAGAACACTGGCTGACTCTTGTGTTGGCAGATGATTGCAGGTTGGTTCTAAACTTTGGGGAGCTGCAAAAAATTACTTTTATGGAAGTGTTGTATCTTCAGTCTAGCAGAATTGGAAGCATGTGATTCTAATTTGTAGTTAAGCATTTTGCATGTATTTGAATTGTTGGGCATTCTAGAATAGGTCACCATCATCCTTTACTCATTGGATATCCTCCTAGATGGCTAGGAATAAATTCCCTTGCTGACTAGCCATTCTAAGAATTGTAATCCAACATATGTACAGGTTGTCATGCTGAAGGCTGTGGAACAGTTGTATTCTGTAGAGCTGTGCAGTGCATAGGTTCTGATTCAGAGAAGATGTTTTGAAACGCACTGGAACATGAACACAACATTAGTCAAAAATTTATTAAAGCAGCTATGTGACTCTTCCAAATTCATGCTGCTGCTACTGCTACAGAGAAACTTCACTCGCAGTCCAGCAATCCTGCACAACTCCTTTAATAAATCATAGACAGATGCTGAGATCTGAAAGCATCTATTTTAGATCAAATCCAAAGCTTTACCCGACTTCGGGTATTTATAATATTTCATTTATTTCTACATAGGCAAATTGAGTCTATGAGGAGTCTGATACATTTATCTGCCTCAAGACCTCTTCACTGCAATAAAGAAAGCTTCTCCCACAGGATGTTTTATTCCATACAGGAGTTTTGTAATTCTAGTTGTTTATGGCAAACTTGACTTCTAAAAATTACTTTTCCTTTCTAGTTAAGGAGGATTCAGAATGCAATTGAAGGAGAACCGCTGGGAGGAGAAGAGGTAGAAAAAATAGAGGGAGCTAATCAAATCACCTTGCAAGTTGGTTATCTCAGGTAAAAGACTAGAAAGCAGTGGAACAGATGATATTGCTGATGGGCCAAGCATGTTTGTTTCATTGATGCTCTTAAGATTTTGCTAAATATGCATATTGTGCTTGCTATTGGAAGAAAAGGAAACGAGATCTTTATTCTGAAAAACTGTGTAAAAAATATTAAAAGGTTACAAAAGTACATGGCACACCTCAACCTAATTATCATTTCCACCAAAGTGAATGACTTTTTAAATTAAAGTGCACAAAGCTGTTTCAAACTTAATTTGATTCTTTGTTGACAATTTGGGGTAGAGATGCTTTGAATTAGTCTTGATGCTTAGTGCTGTCTGGATATGTTTTCTTGGCAAGATTTCAGAAGTGGCTTGCCATTGCCTCCTTGCTAGGGCTAAGAGAGAGTGACTGGCCCAAGATCACTCAGTTGACTTTGTGCCTCAGGCAGGACTAAAACTAAGAGTCTCCTGGTTTCTAGCCTGTAATCTTAACCACTATACTATTTGGCTCTCTCAATTACCAAATATTCTGATGTCATTCTAATTTTTTCTCAGAAAGATATTGGAAGTGGTCTCCTTTTCAGTTGCCTTTTCAAAACCAGCCAAAATAAAACCCTTGATGATGCTGGTTGCAAGAGTGCCCACAGGTCAAAATAATCAAATGGGAATCACTCAATTGATTCTCCACTCAGAGTTTTGGTTGTGTAGCCATAATTACTATTAGGATTTTTTTTGACAGATTATCTGCAGATGCCTTGGAGAGAAGTGATGCGTAAGCAATGTTTTTGTAGTATAATTTTTAGCATTATCGTTTGATGGTACCAAAGCAGCATTTTAAACATTTCCATGCTGTCCTTCATTATAATAATTCAGTGGTGCTCACATATTTGAAAATAAACTAAATATAGCAAGTCAGTTACAAAACTGTTAGTATACCTTGCAGAGTGTGAAAATGGATTTGAATATGTTAACAGCCTATGCTTTTGTTGTAATACACAAATGGGCTTTCTGATTAAAGTGTTGTGTTAGAAAATGGGAGATCAGGAGTTCTAGTTCTGGCTTAGGCATGGATGTTGAGGAAAAATAATAGAAGGGAACATTTATTTCTACAAAATAAGAGTGGTACATTAATCAATCAATCAATCAAATAAATAAATAACCAACCAACCATGGCTTACTGAATAAGTGTTAGTTGGTTTGGTTGATAACATGTAAACTACAAAGAAACACAGTGGTCTATTCTGTGAAGCCAACTATTCTAACTGGGCTTTTTCTCATTTAAAGGCACATTCTATAAGGGCTTCCGTGGGGGTGGGGGAGAAATGAAAGTTTTTAGAGAGAGGGAATTGGAGCCAGGTTTGGAATTTAGTTGAGATCAGCAAGGGAATTTTTCTTCCAGTCACAGTAAGGAGCTGGTTCCCTTGCTTGGTACCCTTCCTGAACTGAAACCCCAAACCTAAATTATGAAATTCATAGATGTTGCTCACTTCCATTTTCAGAGCAACATGTAATGGAGCAAAAAAGTGGCATGTTATTATGAAATTTTGACTACATTGGGTGGCATATATGCAGGTACAATGCAAAAATGCTTTTATTAGTAATCCTGCATTTTACCAAGAATATTCAGCATAAAGATCTGTTTATACAATGTCTGCTCTCCCAGGTAGTTATGGCATGAGCAATAGCTCCCTCTCTCTTGGCCCCCAAATGGAAGGAACTGTGGTGGTCAGCTCGTACCATGTGGCTCTTGTGGCCAGGTGCTTATCACAGTAGAGGGTGTTTTGCTGTAGGGAATTGATTCCTGTGATATAGTTGTAGAAGCAAAAGATTTTTAAGAATCAAGAAGGGTTTCTGACTCAAAGCCTGTGGAGGTAGTATTTAATCTAGTTTCTAACCTGCAGATGATCTGCCCTGCTCACTTGCCCTTGCAGTTTTATAGAAAGCATTTTGCATTTCCAGGTGGACATCGCTAAACCATTAAGGACACTTCCATCCTATTTACAGGGAGCCTCAAGAGAAGGGGAGAAACAAGGCAAATTTGCTAATCTACCCTTGCTTCAGGATTACATTTGGAAACCATGTATTAGTTTCTATAGTGGACAAAGTACACATGTATGTCATCTGCTCCAAAAGAAAATTTTAATTTGCTGAGTGACACTTCTTTTTTGTTGGTTTTATGGTGCAGAGCAACAGTGCAAGATATAGAGAAAGAGCTAAAGGAACTGAGACAGAAACAAGATATGGGGAAAGCCAAATTGGAGCAGTCGATGACAGACAATGCCTATTACCTCCAGGAGCAGGTCAGCAAATGAACTCAGGATGTGTTGAGATCAGAATGTCTTTAGCTAATCTAAATAACAACAACAAAGAACCCAAGTAACTGGGAAAATATGGTGTGTGTGTGTGTGTGTGTGTGTTTATAAGACTGCTGTGTCCTTTCTAGAAATTGTATTTATTCCTACATATTATGGACAAATCCTTTGTTAATGAAAATGTGTTGAATTGGTTGATGACTTTTCTAGCCAGTGACCAGATGTTGAACTTGCAAGCTAATAAAGGAGTCAGGAGTGTGGACAAAACTCACAATGTTGTTCACACATTCGCAGTGAGTAGCTTTTGAAATATAAACAGGAGATGAAGTAACACACACACAAAATCAGGCTTGAGAGCCAATCCAAGATTTGAAAACCAAGTTTGATGTTTCATCTTTTGCTTTAGTTTATGCAGGCACCATGGTTAGTTTCCAGAGTTACTGGCTTCCTGAATACCTAACTTAGTAATTGACATGTATGCACTGTCTGACCATACCCAGAGATTTAAATCAAGTTCTGTTTGAGAAGTTAAAAGTCTGAAATGTGTAGGAGTAACTACACAGTTTGAAAAAAGCATCACAGTGCTGTGGTCTTACCTTCCTTTGTTCCTGGCTATCAATAGCCCCTGGAATTTTTCCTAATTTGATGGGGTTTACAGAGATGCTTTTCCAATGGAAAATGAATGGATGGCACAAGCAATTCTAAATAAGACCTGAATGAAGCAAAGCTGCCTCTATTTCAGGAACAATGATTTTCAGGTCAGTCTTCATCTTGCAATTAACAATTAGCTAGCAGTAATGAGATATAGGAATAATGATGCTTTCCTGGTGATTACCTCACTAGATTCACTTTTTTCAGCTCATCTACAAAGTCCCAGTACATTATGAGTAGCTTCTAACAGAGAGATGTGGCTCAGGATCAGCTCCTGGAATCAGGAGCCCTCTATGAGTTTGTAACTTGTACTATTAGGAGATTGAAAAGGGCAACTGACGGAAATAGGCAAATTGTGGAAAGCTCAGCAAAGGGGGAATGTTATTTTTATAATAATTTAAATAAATTGACACAGCTTTCCCTCCTTTAATCTCTGGACTGGCATTTAACTTTACAGGATTACAATCAAACAAAGTTTATCATATGGGTCCTTGCCTCTTTTTCTGTTTCAGAAAGAAACATCTGGCTAGAGTGTTGTGGTTATTCCTGCCCAACTAGTCTGCCCTTTGTTGCTTGCAGAGCCTTTATTTCTTGATTTAGAACCATACCCATGGAGTTATTTCTTGAACGAGCTTTTGATCTGCAGCCATTAGCAGGAGGATAATCTATAGCTCCCGGTTGAGAAAATGCTTCATTTGCTAATTTCTTCATATCAAAGAAACAAGAAGCCAGGCTTTTTTGTTTCTGCTTGTTTGCTTGTTCTTTGAGCCTTTGTGGACCCTCTGTGATAATATTGCAGCTCCAGAGGTCCGCAGAGAACCACTGATGTAGGCTATGACTTCTACTAACCTTAGCCATCAAGGGAGGTGGACATTGTTCTCCAGCCTATCTGGAGAGTGCCAGATTGAGGCTATCCTTTAGATATACAATTCAGTCTGATGGGGAACCCCCATTTCCCCCCCCTCCACTAATAGAGTGGAAAAGTGCTTACTTTATAACACCATAATACATGTTTCAGCATTTGGGTGTCATCGTGGCTGGCTACAAATGCCTATGGGAGAAGACCTGTTAAACAGAGTCAAACCTTGCCCACTGGAAGGTCTTTCTAGCTGCCCTCAAAACTTTTTTTGCTCAGGTTCCGCATTGTTGTAGTGAAAGGAGGGCTGGGGGGTTCAGCAGCAGCAGACAACCTTTTTTTCCCTGCACTAAGTCCTAAATCACTCCCCAAAGCTCTTTCTATTATTCTCTATTACTCCCATGGACAAAATAGGTGTGGGAAACTCTCATTAACATCAGTGGAAGCTGACTTTTGGAGTTGGGATTTAGTTTCAGGGAAGTTCTAGAAACTTGTGTGTTTGTGTTGTGTGTGTGTGTTTATTTATTTATTTATTTATTATTTATATGGTATCCTCCAATTTAGTGCTCTGGGACTAACAGGGGGCTCCCCCATTCCCTGAAAAAACTCCTATTGTGCATGTCCCAAGTCTGTGGACTCTGGCCATTGCAGACCCAACTAAAATAAAGTTACCAAGCCAAGGAATACTGATTAAGCCCAACAAATTAAAAGAGCTTGTTCCTGTCACCACTATATGTTAGAGATGAAAACCAGGATTTCCTTTTCAAGAAACCAAACTCCTGCTTTTCTCACTTGCTCACAGTTAGACAAGCTTAGATCTGTCATAGAGAACATGATGTCATCCTCGTCAACTTTGCTGTCCATGAGCATGCCACCCATCCCAGAGTCTGGTGCAGCTCAAGTCCAAGGCGCGTGTGCAGCCTGCAGCTTAGATGTCAGTGAGAAGGTTAGCCAGTTGTTCAAGCGCTACGAGCAGTTACAGGACTCGGTCAACAACTTCATGTTGAGGCAGGCAGAAAGCAAAACGAAGAAACCCAAGCAACGTCAGGTAAGCCCAGAAAGAAGATGGCTCAGACTGCTCTTCTTTTCAGTTGGATAGCTTTGGAAACTGCCCACTCAGATGAGATGGGTGGTCTGGAAATTTAATAAATTAAAACCAAGAACATGGTAGTCCTCTGCAAGATGGACAAGTATTGATATGCTTTGGGCCACAATTTGGATAGGGAAGTCTAACCCTTTGGACCTTCGTAAAGGGGTGGACGATATGTCTAGCTTAGTATTGCCTGGTGATGTTTTCTAAGAGTGCCAGATATATCGTATTTTTCGGAGTATATGACACACCTTTTGCCTCAAAAAAGAGGGTGAAAATCTAGGTGCATCTTATACACTGAATACAGCATTTTTGGCCTACCAAAACCCCACCCCCTTTGCAAAAATGGATGTGCAGAGGGTTTGGGAGGCTTGCAAAGTGCTCCTGAGGGCTGGGGATGGCAAAAATAGAGCAGAAAATGGGCCATTTTTGCCCCCCCCCAGCCCCCAAGAGCATTCTACAAGCCTCCCAAAGCCTCTGCATGCCCCTTTAAAAAAAAAAAAAGCCCGCTTTTGCTTGTTTTTGGTCCCTCCCAGCCCCCACGAGCACTCTAAGAGCCTCCCAAAGCTTTGCATGCCCCCCTTTTTTTGCAAAAAACGAGGCACGCAGAGGGTTTGGGAGGCCTGTAGAGTGCAAAACTTTTTTTAAAAAAATACCTCTTCAAAATCATGGTGTGTCTTATACTCCAGTGCGTCTTATAATCCGAAAAAATAATAGGTATTTGCCTGTTGTTCCTGGAGAAGCCAGGAACTGAATATGGGAGCTTTTGTGTGCAGAACAATAGTCTCTCCCTCTGAGCTTTATCACAAATTTTTCCCCCAACGATAGTGGCTGTGTGCTTGCTAGTGGGAAGGGAAATGTTTTGCAGATTCATTCACCTTTCAGATCACATTATTTACTGACATGGTCCATACATCATGTTAAGCTATCTTTTTAAAACAATGATTTCTTAATAAATCTCAGCCATGGCTGTAACTAGTGAGGCTTTCTAAGTATTTTCTCCCTTTGAGACTTTCAAGAAGTCACAAGTTCAACATGTTGCATATTTTCTTGTGTGGGGGAAATGGAAGCAGATCTGTTTTAAATATACTTCATATTTCATGATAAGAGCAATATTGTTGATATAGAAATTACTTTTGGTAGTTTTGGAAAGAGGAACTATAAATATCATACTCTGCCTAATGAGTGTCTTCCTGTTTCAGGTGGTTTTAATATTTTACCCACTGAAAGTAGCAGCTTCCCAACTTCCCAAAATTGCTTTCTAAGGATCATTTCTAGGGTTCAAGTATATTGTTTTATTCCTGACTAAACTGAATACTTTTACACAATTTTCACAATTTTTTAAAATAAGAATCCATGTTCTTGGCCAGGCTTATCTTAAAACTTACGTTACACCATGACGTTCAGTAAGATTGTTGATGTTCGGAATTGCAGCCTATAATACTCCATTAGTAAGCCGGTTATGCTTTGCTTTGCTTTTGTTCCATTGATTTGTCTCCTATTTTATCTTTAACTGAAAATAGCTGAAGAAATTATGGCACAAATTTCAGCCTTATACAAGATTTCTGGTTTTGTTCTAAAACAGTATCAGTCTTTTAGAACTATGTGCAGATATGTCTGTTCAAGCAGCTTATTTCCAAGGACACAGAGGCTTTGTTTTGTTTGCATTTTTGTGAACTTCTATTTTACTCTCTTATTCTTAGAAAGTCTTCCAAGGGGTGCCTTGAAGGTTGAATGCAGGGATCCCAGTCTGACATAATTACTTTTTAGTATTATGTGCTTCTTGAACTTGGATGTTGGCAGAGCATTTAACAATGGAGTTTCCCTCAGTTTCAGACCAATGTGATTTTTAGGTTGTCACATATACATCTAAGCCTAACAGTTGTGAGAATACATCATACCCAAAGAGCATGTCAGTGTTCTGTATATGAATCTTATCTTTTATTACTATGTCAAGGGGATTCCCATTTTGTTTCTTCCAACAATATTTTGAGAAGTCAAAATATATATATCAGCTGATTGTCATGAGTAAAAGTAAACCAGGGCCCAGGTTGTAGACAATGTCTGGACCTGTTATATAATAAAGATCCATTTATATTATTCCACATATATCTTGAGTTTATTTTATTATATTCTAATAAAATATCTCCTACTGACCTTTCTTTGCAGGATTCCCTATTTGTCATGAAAAGATGGATTGGGCTTTCATTATTTACTCCAAATTGTCCAAAGGCAGAAGCTTGAACTCTGAAAAATAGAACAGGAGGGAAAATAAAGCCGTCACTTTTTCTTTTTTGTTAACTTTAGTATTCATGCTCTTTTCCGATCAGGATGAAGAGGTGCTCAACCAAATCCAGAGTACTATCCTGCAAGTCCAAGAAGATTGTGAGAAGCTGAATGCCACTACTGGCAATCTTGTTGAAGATCATCACCAGAAACAGAAAGAGATCAGTGTACGTAACTTTGAGTCAAAGTTAGCAGGTGGGATCAAGAAAATGGCAAGAAATTCTTGGAAACTGTTCTGAACGCAGTGGATACCAATTCTGTTTTTGCTGAAGATTGTATAATAAAGCTTAAATTAGTTATTAGCCAGAATAGCAGAGAAAGAAGGAATAGTAGATAACATGTGGTCCATAGGGTCATTGTTTCAGAGATATTTCCTTATCCAAACAGAGAAACAGAATACAGGTAATCCTTGACTTTTGACCACAAAATTTCTGTTGCTAGGTGAGTCATTGGTTAAGTGAGTTTTGCCTCATTTTCTGACCTTTCTTGCCACAGTTGTTAAGTGAATCATTGTAGTTGTTAAGGTAATAACACAAATTGTTAAGTGAATCTGGTTATCCCATTGACTTTGCTTATCAGAATGTCACAAAAGTTGATCACATGATCCCAGGACACTGCAACCATTGTAAATATAAGTTGCCAAGCATCTGAATTTTAATCATGTAATCATGGGGATGTTTTAATGGTCATAAGTGTGAAAAATGGTTGCAAGTCACCTTTTTCAGTGCCGTCGTAACGTCAAACATTCATTAAATGAAATTTTGTAAGTCAAGGACTACCTATAACCACAAGCAGTTAACTTTCCTTGTAGGAAGCTGGCAGGCAATGTTGGAAAGGAGGATCACATGACCACAGTTGACCATGGATGTATGGTAGCATAGCAGTGCATGAGCACTGAAGTGACTACAACTTTACCAAATTTCAGTCCCATTGGACTCATGGGTCCTGGATTTTGGATGCATTTTTTAATTAAGCCATTTAAGATACAATGATTCGAAAACTGTTGCCTTATGACAATTTTGCCCAATTGAAGTTTAAAAACAATCAGACACAAGAGTTTTATTCTATGCAACCTGTGACCCATTGGGTCATTCTTTCAGAAATATTTCCTTATCAGATTCTTCAGTGTCTTCAACGACAGAACTAAAGTACTGTCTTCACTGGAAAAGTTGGGAATTTATTCAAAGATGTATCTGCCTTGAAAATAACCCATGTTAAACTATATAACACTGTCAAACATCAGCGAAGGAACTGTCCTATGAAATTTTGTAGTATGTCATACACTCTTTTATGATCATTTTTGTCAGGAAATTTTTTATAAGAATTTTCAAAAGTTCAATTCTATGGGAATCATGAGTCACATTTTATAATGTGACTTTTATAAGTTAGACCATTTGAAGTATCTTGGTTCAAAAACTGTTGCCCAATGATCACTGTTCCCTCTAAGGTGTGCGGCTGCGCGGCCGCACACATGGAAAGTAAACACCGCGCAGCAGTTTCCAATTGCCGCGCAGTGTCGTTTGCCGGACACTGCAGTCTGCACACAATCGTGATTGAAACCCCCTCCAGCTAAACAGGAGTCTTGAGGTGCAGCAGGACAGCAAAGTGACTAGGTTGAGGGCAGGTGGTGGCTCGGGCTTCCTGGAGCAACTATTTAGAGGGAACATTGTCCACAGCTGCCTTTGCACAAGTTTAAGAGGGCTAAATTTGTCTTGTTGGGTGGTGGGTGGGGGAGGGAGTGATTGGCCAAAACTCGCTGAAAGAAAGTTCCATTTTTTTCCTGCCCGCGTGATTAATTCAGCCTCTGAGATAAACGTATTGTGTGAAAGCAGCTGGCTTCCCTTCCTCTCCATCATCCGTGCTTCNCAGAGATTTTGCGAACATCTCTGGGACCACTGGAGTTTCTCCCACGTCACTGTCTCTACGGGACAGCTTAGATTCAAAAGAATCCTCCAAAAAAGACTCCGGTGTAGATGGTCATTCAGGAGGTGCCTGAAAGTCCGTCTTCTCACTGCTAAGCCCCGCCTTCTTCTCCTCAAGCCCTGATTTCTATATGGACTGCTAATTTTCCTTTTCCCCCTTCCCCTTTCTCTCTTCTGTGTCATGTTGTTTGTCTGTGTTCTTTCGTTTCTGCAGGTGTGACCATCCTTTTCTGGAGGAGGGCCGGATGTCAGCCTCTGCTTCGCTGCTGCTTTTCGGCTGCCATTGAAATGGGGAGGGTATTTGGGAGGGGAATCATTATGTACTGGAGGATTATTAGGAGCTGTCCTGACTATCTATCTGCGCATGTGGAAGAAGGGAGTTGGCGGGAAACTCCCTTCTTCCACATGTGCAGATAGATAGTCAGGACAGCTCCTAATAACAATCCTCTAGTACATAATGATTCCCCTCCCAAATACCATGCCCCCCTCCCCGTTTCAATGGCAGCCGAAAAGCAGCAGTGAAGCAGAGGCTGACAGATGGTTTACATGCCAGAGTTCTCAAGGAGCTGACAGAAGTTATCTCCATTGCACATTTTTTAAAAAAAAAAAATCCTGGGGCACCAGGGAACTACAAGAAGATTGGAAAAGAGCTGATGTGGTTCCCATCTTCAAAAGGTGGGGAAATAACAGAAACAGGAAAAACCAGACCAAACAGTGTAACATAAATACCTGGGAAGATATTGTTAAAAAATAATAAAAAAACTGATCTGTGAACATCAAGAAACAAATAAATTTATCACTAGTAGCCAGCATGGGTTTGTTAAAAACAGATCATGCCAAACCAATCTTGTCCCAAAGGTGCTTTTTCAAGAGGTGATTGGGTTTTGTGGTTTTGTGGTTTCGCTTCCCCTCCAAGAAGCTTCTTCAGCTCCAAACCAATCTTATTTCATTCTTTGACAGAGTAACTCAATTAGTAGACTAGAAAAATGCTGTGGACATTGACTTCAGCAAGGTAGACCATACCCCACTTCTTGGTAAGCTAGAAAAATGTGGGATACACAACATCATCACCAGATGGATTTGTAATTGGCTGACAAACCATACTCGACAAGTAGTCCTTAATGGTCTACATCAGTGGTGGGATTCAAATTTTTTTACTACCAGTTCTGTGGGTGAGGCTTGGTGGGCGTGGCATCATAGTCATGTGACTGGTTGGGTGTGGCTGGATGGTCATGTGACTGGATGAGCATGGCCAACTTGACATCACTCATATCACCCAGCCCCTCCCCTCCCAGCTACTCCTTGTCACACCCAGCCTCAGCGTATCTATAATTCTGTAAAAATGTTCACCTTTTTTCAACTTTATTATCTGCATTACATACCATAGATGTATTTTCATGGACCACTGAAAGGAGGAAATGGCTCCCATGATTTGCCCAAGAGTGTGATAGGCAGGTCACAAAACAGGGGCTGCCACAAAGAAGGCGGGGGGGAATATATTTTCCAAAGCAGCAGAAGGCAAATCAAGAAGCAATAGATGGAAACTGAACAAAGAGAGAACAATCTAAAACTAAGGAGAAACTTCCCGATAGTGAGAAAAATTAACCAGTGGAACTACTTGTCTCCAGACATTCTGAGTGCTCGATCACTGGAAGTTTTTAAGAAAAGACTGGACAGCCATTTCTCTGAAATGATATAGGGTCCCATCCAAAATCCCTTCTAAGTGCTATTCTGTTATTTTGACAGCTTTCCCAGGCCCTCCACTCAGATTTTGACATCCTCAGTTTTCCTGCCTGAGCAGGGGGTTGGACTAGAAGACCTCCAAAGTCCCTTTCAACTCTGTTATTCCATTATTTCTGAGCTAATTAGCTAAGAGCCTCATTGAGACCCTATCTCTTTTGCTCCCTCTGTACTAATGAGCTGCCTCTAGACATTCATTTTAATAAGATTTTTAGAAACCTGCAGTTGAAAGTTCTTCATCTCTCTTTATCCTGAAGACTCAATTTCATTTGGAATTTAATCCCAAACTGATTGCCTTTTTAGCATTTCTTTTGATACTTCTCTAAAATGCACTCCCAAGAAGCCGTATCTCCCTCCCACCCTCTCTCTCACATACACAAGTTAAGCAAATTCCCTTGTTTTGGAGACTTTAAAATCAGAAGGGACCTTGGAGGTCTATAGTTCAACCTTCTGCTCAAGGCAGAAGACCTCATACATATGCAAGTTTGCAGACAGCCCAGCTTTGGCTGCAAGAACTTCCCCACCCACACACCTCCTCATCCCACTGCCCCATGCATGGCAGGAGCCCGAGAGAAAGCACCTGGTCTGGGACAAAGTCCTCCATGACAGAGCCCTTCCTGTGGAGCAAAGCAAGAACTTACTGATCCATCCCAAAGGTGAGCTTCAGAGTGGCGACCGCAGCAGCAGTGACTGCAGAAAGAGAGCTCCGGAGTTGAATACTGTTTCTCTCTGCCACAGTGCTTTCTGGATGGGACTAACAAGACCCAAAGCTGCAATTCACAGTTGCTAATTTTTGCTGTGCTGCACAAGATGCTTTCCAGCAAGAGCAGAAGTGTAGAGAAAACAGCTGCCGACCCAGAGAACATGTGGAGTAGCTCCATGTGTTCTCCGGGTCAGTGGCTGCTTCTCTCCACTGCTGCTCTTACTGGGAGAGTGTCTTTTGCAGCACAGCGAGCATCAGGTGCTCATGGAGACACTCCATGTGTTCTCCTGAGACAATGGCGCAACATGGCTGCTTCTCTATGCTGCAGCCTTTTATGGATGAGACAGTAAGGTAAGAACCTTACCCAAACTGCTTCAGCACACCTGTGCCATGCCAGGTGGCACCTGCACCCACGCTCCTGCTTGCCCCACTTGTACTGCCACCCCTGTGGCCCTTTGGCCGAACATGGCAGCTGCAGGCTAGGTGAATTGCTTCAGCCTGTGGGGAGGATGTAGTGAGGCCAGGGTAGGGTTCTCTGAGTAAGTGTGGACAGCGAGCATAAATTTCCCAGGGGAAATGCATTCAATGGTCCCGGGGGTAAGATGTAAATAAAACAGAAAATTACCTAACTAGGAAGTGGAGAAGGCTTAGGCTGAGAGTGAGGAAGCCAGGGAGTAGCTGAGCCACAGGCGTCATGTGGTGTAGGTTAGGGCCTAGGTGAGCTGCAACAGCTGGGGAGCCAGGAACGTGGGTGAGCTGGTGAAGGAGCAGGAGAGGGCCTAGGTGAGCTGAAATGGCTGGG